AAGAACTGCAAGCTTGTTTCTAATACTGCATCTCTTCAGTCTCGTGGGTGCTAAGTTAAGTAATTTTGGTTCCCTAGATTTTATTTTCCCCCCTCATTGCTTAAATGTGTAACTCGACATGTTGCATGCAAGTCAGCTCTGCATAACATTTAATTTGCACAACTCAACATAAATTTCATTTAGTCCTCCGTTGCCATAGTGAATGGTAAAGGGTGTTTCTTGGGGGAGGGGGGGTGCAACGCTATTCTCTTTTTTCTCCCTTTCAGATTTTGCGATCAGCTAAACTTGCTACTGAGCCAAGCAGCTTAAGCATCAGCAGAGTAACGGGATGACTTGAGTTCAGCCAGCCTCTAGGGATCAGACTTTAATTTGTGGAAGATTTCAACATTGTTAAGTACAGATCTGAAAACGATAATTTGGCATAATTATACAGTCTGGGGTTAATATGGGGGGTGGGGGGGTTCCCTAAACTGTCCTGTTTTTTTTCCTTCCTGTTGCAGCTTTAGAAGCATTGATTTGAGCATCAAGTCCTGCCCCAATGAAAAGGGAATGGCTTTGTGTATGAACAGGAATCCTGGTACCGTGGCTTTGCTTTTATGGTCATAATTGGAAATAAGTCAAATGCCAATATCTCTGTGGGGAATACTGGGATCGGGGAAACGGTTCTGTCTTCTAGTTTCAGCCTCACGATCAAGAGAACTGTCCATTGTCGTCAGGATTAGAGCAGCGTGGTGCTGAGGGGTTTTCTTTTCCTGGAGGAACAAAAACTTTGTTCCTTCAGGTTTTGCTTTTGCCCAACTTAAAGCTAATACAAAAAAGCAAAAGACTCCGGTGGTGGCACTCCTGACTTTGTCAGGACAGGGTTCAAGTCCCTGCGGTGTCTTGCTTTCAGTATGCTGTTTGGGTAAAGCTCCTCTGTCAGGTTACTACAGTAAAGCTTTCTGTTCCAGTAGGCATGTGACTAAAGAGGGTGGGTGGATTTATCAGTTCTACTTAAATTTTGTTAAATTCAATTGAGGTAATGCAAATTATTTCAAAGGTTTTGGGGGGTTTTTTTGTATTGATTTACACACTGACTTGCTTTGAATGATCAAAGTAACAGCTGTCTGTATAAGAATAAAACCTTGCTCACATTTTTTATCCTGTTAATAAAAGCATGTTTATAAACTCCAGTTGAATCTTTTAATTTGAAATAAAATGTTCCATTGAGGATGTACTCTGTGGTCTCCCCATAAGGGTAGGTTATACGTTTTATTAAATGTGGACCTATGTAATGCCTTTTTGGATCCATCTATTGAACAGATAACTTCACTTTCTACTAAAGGAAACATAAATGTACAGAAGTATGAACACGCTGCCAAGCTGCAAAGAGCCCTTGTCACCATATTGCCACCGCTAAGCATACAGTCTTTACTTCGTATAAAAAAATAAAAATGGCTGAATTCGAATTCATGGGCTGCATCTTGCAATGACTTGTTCGACCTGCACTGGATCCTTCATAATCCATGAAAATAAAGAGATCTGAAGACTTCTGGCTTTGAACTCAAACCGGTCTGGCCATCCGCAGCTTTTACTGCCATAAACTCTGTCACTTAGCAACCGTGATAGTTGACATAAAAAGGGAAAAAAATGAATATCAAACTTTTCAACACCATTTTTTCTTTTTTGTTATTAAGTTATCAAAGACTACACTCATGAGAATCCAGAGTGGAATAAAGGTGACAACCACTGGGATCAATGAATCACTAGGAGCATGAACAAATAAAAGCCAATGTAATGATAGAAAAGGGGTAGAAAGATAGATCAATCTAAACAATGTATGTATATAAATATATTTTGGCAAAATGTCTTATATTCAACAGCAAAGAAATCCTTAGTTAAGCAAGCTGTGCAAAATAGCAATTAAAAAATATATATTTATAGTTCCCACATTGCAGATATATTAGAATATGTCCTTAAATTACAGCTAAACCTATTTACTCAATAACTGATGAAAACCTTTAGATAAATCTTATTAAATGAACTGTTGAACTGGGATGCTTGGTGGAATCCTGCTGATATCTTCCTCATACCTTATGCTGGGAAAGTCTTAGTTTCATACGAGTAAAATCATGGAAAATGTGCTCATTTAGAAGGCTATTGGTATAACTTTTTATTTTTTTAGTAATTAAAACCAGAAAAGATGTAGGATGCAGAGAGGAAAAAGAATAGTTTAAATCAGTGGTTTGTGATGCAAAATCTGATCTGTTTTTGTCCTAACTGAATTTTTTCTTTTACTAAAAGTTAGGTTGTTTTTTTTTTTCTTTGTTTTTTTTAAAGAAGGGATCCAGGACGTAGCAAGACGTCTTCAGGCAATGTAATTCAAATGAATGCAAATATTTGACAGGCCTAGCTCTAACATACTCATACCTGAACATTACAATTCTCTGTTAACAAAATCCCTTTAATCTGCTCCAGAGGGGCGTTTTTTTAATGTGTGCAGTCTGGAACATCAACAGAATTAAAGAATGGGGGAAAATTTGTCCCCCTATTCCCAAGTTACGTATGTGAAATGTAGCCTAAAATGTTACCGGCATTATTGTAGAATCCTTCCTTAATTTTGGTCATTCTTCTGTGGTCAGGAAAGGTTACGAAGATACTGTACAGTGTATCAAAAAAGTAAGTACACCGCAGAATTTTTGCAGATGCTTAACTATATCTTTTCACACTGGAGAAATTTTGCTTTGACACAATGAAAAGAAGCATGTATGCTGTTTATATAACAGTCTAAAATGATTCTCTCAGAACAAAAGTATAGCTACACCCCTAGCAACATAATTTAGTACATCCCTAAGAGACTATGCCCCTAAATATTCAAATTGAGCGAGCCTATTGTGAAGTCTGTACACCTGAAAGACTACTGCTGAGCCATTGTTCACATGGTGACAAATTTGGAGCTGTAATAATAATGGATTGTCCAGCAGCTCTGGTATAGGATATCTTTTCAGAAATATGTAATAACTCTCTTGTAGTTTGACCAATATGCACCAAGCAACATGGAGATTTAATAAGTACCGTATATTCAGCTTGGTCCTATTTCTAATAAAGAGTTTTGTTTTTTATCTGTATGGGGGTGCAGTGTAGAAAGACATTATGTCAGATTACATCAGACAATGGTGTTTCTATGGATACCAGCCCATATTGGTGTGTTATCAAACAAAAATTAAAGAATGAATGGTAAAAATGATGGGAGATGTTTTAATAGGATCAAAAAGATGTTGGTGCGTGCCAGTCTTTGCTGTCTCGCAAACAGCTGGTGCAAACGCGACTTTTAACTGGTTCTACGAAACATGATCACATCACTCTTGTCCTGGGCTCGCTCCACTGGCTGCCTGTGCATTTTAGAGTTGATTTTAAAATCCTTATCTTTGTTTTTAAGTGCCAAAATAACCCTACCCCATCTTATCACTCTTCACCTCTACTTGCCTCCTCGGTCCGTCAGGTCAGCAGAGCAGCAGCTTCTGCAGGTACAGAGGTTTAAAACACAGCTCAAAACATACTTTTATTCGCTGGCTTTTAACACTGGCAGGACCTAATTGGTATGACCTTGTTTATTTACCTTAATAAAATTCATATCATTGCCTGATTTCATATTTTCATGCTGTATTTTACCCTTTTATTGAGTTTTACTATTTTTAGTTATGTTAAATATATATATTTATATATATATATTTTTTTATGGCCCTAAGATAAGGTAGGCCAGTGGTTTGCTTGTTGTTGTTTTTTGTTTTTTAGATATAGTTCTGGGTTCATTTCAAACACCCTGGAGGAGTCACAAAAATCAAGACATATCTGTTTAGGCTGACTTTTCATACTTAGCAGTGGGTGACAATTTCATTCTTCACTATCTTTGTAAACTTTTGATTTTACTGTTTTCTACATTCACTCTTTCTATTGTATGTTGTGACTCTACTCATTTTGTTAAGCATTTTGGGTACCTGCTGGTTGTTGTAAAGTGCTATATAAATACATATTTATTTATTGATTGACACCAAAACAAGCACACCTACATAGAACATCACACCAACCATCATTTGACTTATATATTAAAGTACATTAAGGTACAGTCAGCCAGTTGGTTAATGCAGACCAAGTACAGTCATATTGGTGTAGCTTATCAAGAAGACCATAAGTGACCTTCTCATAGCATGCAAGTTTGACCATTGTTGTTAACCATTGGATTGACAAACAAACTCTTGGAATAATTTGGGATTTCGGTAGGATGCCTATCCTGGCAGGGTTCATTAACATTGCATAGTACTCTATTTGTGTATACTGTGGTTTGCTGGAGTCCAAAAGCATTAGCAGTGGCTTCATAATTTCAATTCAGTTTATTTCTTTAGCACCAATTCACAACACGTAATCTCAAGACGCTTTACAGTTCACCAGATCATACGGTCAAATTGATTCAAAGTTTTCTATCTAAGAAAAACCAGTTGATTACATCGACTCATTGACTTGGATGCAATCCCTCACACTAAGCATGCTGGTAGCGACAGTGGAGAGGAAAAACTCCTTTTAACAGGAAGAAACCTTCAGCAGAACCAGGCTCAGTGTGAGCGGCCATCTCCTAACCAACTCAAGAGTAACAGAGATCAATTGCGGCTGGTCTGCTCTTGAATTTCTCTAGATATGATTTGATTGGGCATGTACTTTTCCATATAGGCAAAGTCGGTTGTAGATTTCCCCCTTAAATAAGATTTTAATTGCTTTTTTTTTTGTTTACTAACTGTGGTTATCTTTGTCTGATACTAAAAGTTGGTCAGATGATCTAAAAGATAAAAAAAATATATATATATATATATTTTTTTACTGCCCTCTGGTTGCAAAATATAAATTATATACGTCTTATGTAAAATTAGGTTTTCAATTTTAAAGTAGTTTTTTGGAAGATGACCGGTACTGTTAAAAAAACAGACGGAACTGATTTCCGGAACGATTGTTGTGAATCGTGGTTCTCACGGAGTTATTTTTCATCCGCTCCAATTTGAGTTACCCCGTTAGCCAACAACTAGCCGCTTCTGAGGCATCAGTCTGCAGAGCTCTGCCGCCGTGTCTCTGTAAGTGTTTGATGAGGTTTGGGAGCGAAGTGAAATGTGGTCCTTTTTCGCCAGGGATCCCGTCAAAGACTTCGCTTATGAAATTCTCCCAGACAGCCCAGAGAAGTCGGGAATATGGACCCTGCACCGGGGGAAGAGAAAGGTAAAGGTTGCGGATCCTTCGCTAACTGTTAGCTTTAGCTCATCTGTTTATGGAGGCCTTTCATCAAAGCAATAAAACAAAACCAAGAGTTTAATTTGTCCTCCTGATACGGACTGTTAACATGTTCTCAGATTTAGTTTTTTTCATTCAATGCCACCGTAGATTTTTTTAATCTGGGTGTTTTCTTTCCAAGTGAAGCTAGCATCGGTGTTTACTCCTGCAGAGACACGCATTTCTCGCCACGTCACCTTGTTTAAAGCGAATTAATTTACAATAACGTCTAAATAAATGACCTGTCTCGCGTTTAAACTGATACAGATTGCTGACTCCAATGCTGTCATTTTATTTAAAACAATAAATTCAGACCATCTTTCCCCTTCATCGTTTTTACCGCAGGATCAGATGACACTTGAGCGCCAACTTCCTCCTTTCAGGAGATGAACGGATTGATTAGTTTCTAGCATTTAATATCTGATCTCAGTGTTGTTGTTTAATAGTTTAATCGTTGGTCGCTTTTTTCAGACCTCCGGGGATCCGGTGTCTGTGTTTGTCTATGAGGTGGCCCAGGGGACAGAGCAGCAGAGCCAGTTAGCCAAAGCTGCCTTCAAGCGGATGAAGACCCTGCGTCATCCTAACATCCTAGCATATGTAGATGGACTGGAGGTATGCATTTTCTGTCATATTGTTCATATATTTGTTTAAAAAGTCTTTTTTTTAAGCCTCAGCACTGAAAGATGTTCAGCTTTTTCTTACATGTGCTTTTTTTGCCCATGCTTTATGTTCAGAGGGAGGTGAGTGAGCAGTTCTATTTGTACTGTTGTTTTAGAAGCTAGTTAAGCAGCAGCACACCTTCCTCATTTGTCTCCTAAATTTATTTAATGGTAGCTGTTTGTCTGTGTGTGATAATGTGACATCTTCAATGGCTGTATTGGATCCTACAGTATAGAGCTGCTTCACACCGCAAGGATGGAGATTCGGTTTATTTTCATAATCTGGATGGGTTTTTGGTCTTTAGCCATTGTCTCAGTCCATCCATCCATGTATATGTGCATTTCTTTATCCATCTGATAGGAGATATGCAGGCGTTTTGGTGATTAAATATTCAAAGCATAAAGTCTCTGATAAGCTGCTCTAAAATTATGTTTACATTTTATACTATTACTTACAACAATAATATTTTTTGGAAAAATATTTAAAAATAGACAGAAATATATTAGATTTTTCGAAAGTGACATTTTTACACAAACATTGCATGTGTAAAAAGTCTGTATGCTTTCCCTGTGTAGATCTACAATGTTAAACCATTCAGGTTATTAAAAAGTCCTAAATGTTTGAATTAGAGCTGCAACTAACAATTATTTTGCCAATCGATTCGATTAATAATCGGATAGCAAAAGCACCCTAAAAGAAAATTTTTTAAAAAGAATTTAAGCAAGTGAATCAAAAGCTTTTCCACTTTCGGAGTTCTGGGTAGAGCATATTAACGGATATTTTTTTTTAAGATTTAAAATACAAAATATTTATGTATTTTTTTTTTGTTGTTGCAATTTTTGTATAATTACTGTTGCTCTGTCAGCTAAAGAGATGTTTTAGAGTCTCTTTACTTCAGTTAACGATCAATCGATTACTAAATTACTTGCCGATTATTTAAATAATCGATTAATCACGATTAATATGAGAGATGTGTTAGCCCTAGTTTGAATAAAGAAATGGATTATAAATGGAGAAAGTCCATTTGCTTCTTTGATTGATTGACTTTATTGATCTCACAGTGGAGAAATTTACTCATTACATCAGTTCAAATAGTCAAAGGAGAAGAAGAAGGTGCTGGAGGAAGAGAAAGGTGCATAGGAGATATATATGTAGTGCATCCCCAACCTTCTTCTTTGTAACAGGATTATTATACAGAAAGTATTTTCAATGTTTTGTTTTCATTACCCTTGGATTATTAGGGGATGTTTCCCTATAACCTTTATGAGTTTAACACCTCAGTGCTTTTTAGACTACGCTGCTGTTCTGCTGATAGAGGTGCTTCTGTAAAATATGTCTGTTGTCTTTTTAGTCTTCTGGTTGCTCTTTAATAATCCAATGCTGATACTAACTAGCAGTATTTCACTTTGCTGTATAAATATGGAGAATGTAGGATTGGGCCCCGTGAATTGATTGCAAAAGGTCTTACCTTTTAAATTCTTCTTGAATCGCTCCAATTCAAACGATTTCCAATCCAAATGTTATACACCATAATGGCCATTCCCTTTCCTGTGCTGTAAAAGTTCCATGCATCAATTTATTCACACTACTGTACACCATGTAAAGCTTTACACCATTTATACAACTTTGGATTATGCTAGGATTAGCATTTAGCTACAAAGAACTGGAGGCTCTGGTAGACTGGACTAACATGAAAAAGGAGAATTTTTAGGAGTCTGTTGAGACTGCAGTAGTGGAGCAAATATTTGTAGGTTTAAAACACCCCACTTTTATTCATCCTTGCTTCTTTATTTGTTTTTCTGGCAGACAGATAAGAGCCTTTATGTGGTCACCGAGCAGGTGACCCCTCTAGCAGTTCACCTGAAGACCCAGGCTGAGAAGGGCGGCGTCGGGGAACTGGAGATCTCCTGGGGTCTGCACCAAATAGTAGTAAGAATCTGCTGAGATAATATCTGATCCTGTCAGGGAACATCTTGTTTAGCAGATCCTTCAGTATTTGCTAAAAGTTATCCTCGCCCTGTATTCCTTGCTGTTTCTTTCTCCTTACAGAAAGCTCTGAGTTTTCTGGTCAATGACTGCCACCTGCTTCATAACAACCTGGGCATTTGGGCTGTTTTTGTGGATCGGGCAGGAGAGTGGAAGCTGGGTGCCCTGGATCATGTGGCTCCTGAGCAGGGTGACCCCAGTGGGGTCTCTCTCCCCGGCCCGAAGGCGGTGTACCCTGATATGGAGAAATACGACCCACCAGAGACGCCCAACAGTAGTGGGGAGAAATGGTGAGGACAGAGGGCCTTCAAAGGACATTTTAACAGGTGGATAGCAGAGATATTGATCTGGTTTTATTTTGGTTTCCAGGACAGCAGAGGTGTGGCGGTTGGGATGTCTGATATGGGAGGTTTTTAATGGACCGCTGCCTCGGACATCATCCCTCAGATCTCTGGGAAAGGTATGTTGGCTCCTAATAACCAACACATTTTTTATTATGTATTTGCAGCATCATTGTTTGTCCTTATCAAATTATTTAAGACTTTTTTTTTTTTTTTTTCCAATTTGATCTTTGATTTAAAAGAAAAGAAAAAATGCTGCTAGGTGTAGATAGGTTTTAAATATTATTTTTACCAAACTATGTCTTTTATTAATAATTTCCCTGTTTAATTGATTGATTGATTGATATTTTGGTGATTTAATTTTATTTTTTTGTTTTTCTACAGATTCCAAAGACCCTGGTCCCCCACTACTGTGAGCTAGTCGGGGCTAATCCCCGGGCACGACCCAACCCAGGCCGCTTCCTCCAGAACTGCAGGGCTCCTGGAGGATTCCTCAGCAACAGCTTTGTGGAAAGCAACCTTTTCCTGGAGGAGATCCAGGTCAGCTTTATTTTGGATAGTTAAAAACCAAAAACATTTTTATGTCAGGGCCTATCGAGTCTGCTAACTGAATTCAGTTTTACTGATTTAAAAGAGAGTTTCTGACATGAAATAAAGTGGTTTCTAAAAATGACGAGGACATCTTTAAACTGTTCTTTGCCAGATTAAGGACCCCGCTGAGAAACAGCAGTTCTTTCAGGATCTTAACGATCATCTAGACTCTTTTCCCGAAGACTTCTGTAAACATAAAGTCCTGCCTCAGCTGCTCACAGCCTTTGAGTTTGGAAACGCAGGCGCTGTCATCCTAACGCCCCTATTTAAGGTATCATGTTATGTCTCCATTCAACTGTGACTCTCTCTTTAAGCTTCAAACAGAAAAATTTCATTAGGAAAGAAGAAAATCACCGACTGTCTGTGTTACAGGTGGGGAAGTTCCTGTCAGCAGAAGAATACCAACAGAAAATCATTCCAGTCATCGTGAAGATGTTTTCCTCCACAGACCGAGCGATGAGAATACGACTCCTACAGCAGGTAGATCACATTTCATACTAGTGCATTTAAAGGTGGCCTTCTCCTTCTCAAGAAGTTTTCTGGAAGGCCTGGATTATTACTCAAGTTTTACACATTAAAAGGTAGATTGACTAATATAAACCATGCCTAACTGGAGACAGTAACATTGGTGTTCTACTAACTTCCAGTTTATAGGCCTAATCCTTAGTGGTTATCAGTTTTTGAATCAATTCCTTCTCTTCAGAGGAGGATAGTTTAGGTTTGGTGTGCAGACTGCTAAATGATTCAGAATCAACATCCAAACTATTAAAGAATTTAATAACATAAATAACAGCCTCCATCCCCATTAAAATGACTAAACTTAAAAGCTGCTACTGTGCAAAGAAACCAGATAATTTAAACTAGAATATAATTCCCTGTCAAATCACAGTGGAACTGAAAGCTTCTCGATGGCTCATGTGATTCCTCTGAAGCCCAACAATTGATATTTGTATTCACATATTTTTGGCTTATTTTCCTTTTATTGAAGCTTATATGTTTAATTCTGACTGCATATGTATGGGGAAAAAAATAAAAAAACATTAAAACTTTTGTAATCTGATATATCTGTTTATTGAGTTAAATCTATATTTTAGACTAAACTCTAAACTTTAGGGATCAAAGTTTCCTTTAGCCAATAACGATGAACATCCACATACGGCAGGTTGAAAGTGATTATTTATCACCAACCATGAATTTTATTCTCTTCTGTTTCCCAGATGGAGCAGTTTATCCAGTATCTTAACGAGGCAGCTGTTAATTCCCAGATTTTCCCTCATGTTGTTCATGGCTTCACTGACACCAACCCCGCCATCAGAGAGCAGACCGTTAAGGTATGGAGTTTACAGAATCAAATGTAGAAGCCTTGTCCGCTCTTCTGGACCTAAGTCCTCCATCTTTTTCCATCCTGGTCACCTCAGTCGATGTTGCTGCTGGCTCCCAAACTGAACGAGACCAACTTGAACCAGGAGCTCATGCGTCACTTCGCCCGGCTGCAGGCCAGAGATGAGCAGGGCCCGATCCGATGCAACACCACCGTGTGTTTGGGCAAAATCGCCTCCTACCTCAACGCTGGGGTAAAACAAACACTGTGGTTGTTTTCATTGTATTTTTATTCATGAAAAAAAAACACACAAAAAAGGTATTAAATGTCCTTTTCTTTGCAGACCCGACAGAGAATTCTGATCTCTGCCTTCTCTCGAGCAACTAAAGACCCGTTTCCTGCTTCGCGTTCTGCTGGTGTTCTGGGCTTTGCAGCAACACACAACTACTACAGTGTTACAGAGATCGCAGCCCGGATCCTGCCCACCCTCTGTGCCGTCACCGTGGATCCTGATAAGGGCGTCAGGGAGCAGGTACTGTTTGGGTTCACTTTGACCTGTCCAAAAGGTTGTTCATGTATCATTTAATGCAATCTGATCAGTAGCATTTAAAATATGTATTAGATATAGATTTACTGATGGCAGTGAAATCAAAGCATAAGAGTTTTGATTTATGCCCTAAACATCTACTTGAGCCATAATTTGTAACTTTGGAACAGAAACAGAACTTGAACCCAGATTGACAGTTGGTAGAGGAACGTTTGCACACATACTGCTATCAGACGCTGCTTCATCTCAGATCAAGCCAACCTTTCTCTGTTTCTCAGGCCTTTAAAGCCATCAAGAGTTTCCTTTCCAAGCTGGAGACAGTCTCTGAAGATCCAAGTAAGCTGGCTGAGATCGGTAAGTAAACACCTGATCTAACCTGCAGAGTCTCAAAAGAAAAACTTATTTAAAAAAAAAAAAAAAAAAGTAATGGGACGGACTGTATGTTTCATAAGTGCAGCCTTACAACCTTCATCTAACCTCCATTACTCTACATTTCACAAGCTGAAAGCTGGATTGTCTGATTAACAAAAGCAAATTCACCAAATTGTTTATTTAGGTTAATATTTAGAGAACATAAAGTTTACATTTCTGCATTTTCACAAATATTTCCGGGTCTGATGTTAAAGTTGAACTTTCAGAGGTTTTTATTCATCTTATTTATAAAATCACTTCACAGTAAATGTCTCCAAACAGCATCTTTCTTTTAACACATACAAGTCCAATTCCTGCCTGGTTTAATTGGATCCAAATTCAGTTGACTTTAATTCCGGTAAAATTCAGTCATACAGCTTGTTTTAGGTGTGGGAATGTTGTCAGGATCTATTTATATCATATCCAGTCATGTTCAGATCAGTTTCAACAATTCAGGTAAACAACTGTTAGTTTTTGGATGGTAGAGAACATTTCTGATTGCCCAGAGTTTAAACATTTTAAGCTACTTTCTACTAAAAGAATATAAAACTTGGTTTATATAGTTTTCTCTACATCTTTAGCTTCGAGAACCCTATAATAACAGATTACTTTGAAATGTCTTTGATGTCTAGATGAAAGTGGTGGGTCAGTCTGAAAAGCAAAACATCACAAACTCAGTTTGTTTGTTAATGTTTTAGTCTCCATTTTTTGTAATTCATCTTTGTTATTTTAAGGGGTGTTGATTTTTTCATCTCAGATCTTTGTTTAAATATTTTGATTTTATTCCAAGTTATGAAATAATGAGCAACTTGATTTTAAGTATCAAACTTTAAGTTTAAATAACCTGATTGTTAAATAAGAAAGTCCATTAGATTCTTTCAGCGACCCCTCCTTGTGACAAAGCACATGGGGTGGAACCAAGGAGAAACCAGGTGGGGTGGAACCTAAGGGTGTAAATAATAATCGCTTTGTATCGATGCATCAATCCAACAGCTGACGATCCAACGCATCCACACGTCCATAAGAGTATCGATTTATGTTTTTTTTTTCCTCCGGTCTATTTTTTTTCCATTTGCTCCTGGACGTAATTCTGACTCCCGCGCTGAGGTGGCGCTAAAGCTATTCTGCCCTTCTACCTCGCTTCCTTTAGCCACTACCCTCTTTCCGCTTGCACACACACACTCACATAAACACAGAGGCATTATTATTTTTCAGTGAATGAGGTTTTCATAGGCCTAGGTGGAATAAAACTTTGCTACTTCTGTTATTTGCTGTTGTTTCTCAAATAAAATGCATAACGATATTGCAGCTTTAATTGATTTATTTCAAATTTGAGACATTGTCTAGCCTGTAAGTAAAAAAAAAAAAAAAAAATTATTCAATTAATCGAATCGTATCATGGTTTATTCTTGGGTATGGAAAATAATCGAATCGTTGGGTCAGGAAATGGATAGTGAATCAAATCGCCATGATGGGTGGGATTTACATCCCTGGTGGAACGATGGAGAAACCAGTGTGGAAAAAGTGGGGTGGAACCAGGCAGTAGATAATTCTTAGTGTGAGTGAGGAAGTCTAAGGGTTGAAAGGACGGGAAACAGATGCAGAAAGTCAAGGATTGCCGAACAGCACAAAATCTCAACAGCAGCAAACAATGAGCTAATTAAGAAAAAACCCTGGGACAGATGTTTCAAACAGCAAACTAGTTTGGGAAGTGGTAAGGACTTTGGAAATGTTTCTAAACTTAATATCAGAGGAGGGTTACAGTGGCCATGTTTTCCTGCTGCAGATAGTTCACTATGGTTACAGTATATGTGCTGAGCTGGATGATTTGTTGGAACGTAGCAATAACAATCGAATTAAAAAGAAAAATGCATCAAGAAAACAGAGGAACAAACAAGACGAGAAGCGCATCTCTGATTTCTGGGTTCTTCTTCCTGCTCTGCCTCAGAGAAAGATGTGGGGTCCAGCGCTCAGCCAGCAGGCGCTGCCTCTAGTTGGGCCGGCTGGGCCGTGACCGGCGTGTCCTCGCTAACCTCCAAACTCATCCGCAATAACCCTGGTGCCGAGGGGGGGCCAGCATCGGAGGGTGGTGGTCTGACGAACGCCAGCACGCCCTCCACTGATGGAGCATCAGCCTTAAGTAAAGGTACAGCTTTTTATTTCGTTAAGATAAACTAAGAAGGTCCAGATGTTGGGCTGTGATTGGACTGTAACCCCCTGATCCTTATTCTGTTTGTGGTAATAATTTCAATCTTTTAGGTGCTGAGGATAAAACCCAACAATCCCCCTCAGCTCAGCTCAGTGCTTCTGACCCTGCCAACCAGTCTCAGACCCATGAAGCCACAGACAATGATGAGGAGCAGATTGGAGAGCGTTGGGACGAAGAGGAGGACTGGGGCAGCCTGGAGGTACACCTATTTATTCTGATGCCACATTCTCATGAACGTAGACGGGATTAAACTGGATTAGCCGTTTCTTTCTGTCCAGGAGCCAGGGAAAGCTCAGGCTGATGACTGGAACACAGACTGGTCTGGAACTGCATCGTCCAAAAAGAAGGCCAGCGATAGAGGAGTAGGGGTTCTTTATGTGCCATCCTCAATTCAGCTATATTCTCTGCTTATTGAAGCATTACCTGTTTAATGACATCATACCCGTCAGCTCAAATAGTGCAGGGTATTGTTGAATGAATCTGAGCTTTAGCTAAAATCTTTCTTTCACCATATAGGCTGGAAGATCCTCTGCTTCTATGGCGGTTAAAAAGCAGAGCTCTGACTGGAGCAGTTCAGGCTGGGATGCTGACGACAGCTGGTCCAACGAGAAGGAAGGCCAAGGGCAGAGCTCGGCGGGCGAGGAAGGCTGGGGCAACGACTGGGGGGAGGAGGAGACGGATGTGAGGCCTGCCAGTAAAAACCTGCCTCTGCCTGAAGGTGTCCGATTAGCCAGCGAGTACAACTGGGAAGGGGGCACCGGGAAGGGCGCCAATCAGAACGACTTGTTCGCCAGCGTGTCGCAGAGAAGCACGTCTGCCACCACGGTGAGATCCCAACAAGGAACAAACCAGGAGATACAGATACAAACCCACGTCTGATGTTTAAATACGTTTTTTTCATTGTGGATCATTGGGTCATATCGCTCTGTCATCTGCAGAGCTTCGGTAGCACTAGAATTTATGGCAGACATCTAAGTTTTGAATCAGGACTGGGATATAAAACTCTTTATTTATTATTCAAAAATGTTAAAGGGATTTAACTTGTATTTGGAGGATTTCTCTCCAACATCTTCATCAGGGACAGAGGAAACGGGGGGGAGGAGAGGAGGCTATTGGCCCTGAGCCGGACCAGTTTGAGCCTCTGACTCTGACTTTCTGAACTACAGACTATAAATCTGGCTTATGCCATGTGACTGAATCAACTAATGTCAAATCAATACTAGGCTGGAGAGATGATTTACACTTGTTTTTTTTATGTTTTTTTACTGTAATACATTAAATATTTTAATGTACTTTTATAATGAAGAAAATGTAAACCATGGTGTGTTGGAGGAGCTAGTTAGTGTAGAGCAGCTTCCCTGGGTAGAGCTGCTGAAATCATTTATCCACCATTCCTCACTAAGCAAATGGCACAAAATCAGATGCAGTGACTTCCTTTAACCTGATGAGGGCGCCAACGAGATTGTTTTAGTGGTGTACGTACATTCCAAATAATGTCTGGTATGTGTAGAGAGCCATAACAGACATCTATTTATAGTTTATCATAAAAAATAAAGCTTAATTTATTGAAACGGTTTCATTTTAACCATGCTTATAAAACAAAAAAGAATGTTTGGAAAGCTCCTACTTCATGGGCTGAAATCTAAATTCATGTTGCTCATCACTCTTATTGGCTTAAAACCATCTTTAATACAGCATGTCTGTTAGTAGCAGACAGTGTAAATAATCAGCTGGTAAAAAAACCTGATATATGCTGCAACTAAGTGCTTTTAAACAGCTTATATATTTTGCTAAATCTATGTGTCTAACCATTAATACATGTTATGATTTACAGGAATTATAATACTAATATCTGATGGGGAAAATTGATGCTGTTTTATATTTTTAAAAAATCCTATTAAGTTTTACGGTTTAATTTAAAAGTAATTCTTTATTCCTGATTCGCTGTTACCTGTTTGAATATAAATTTAAACAAAATGAAAGATACGTTTGTTCATCTATATTTTCTGCTGCGGTCAGATAGTGTTTATTTTAAAAAGGTGTGGGCCACCATGATTGTTAAAAACCGAATCAGATAAATTTGCCTTTTAACTTTTTCTTTTTTTTTTGCCAGCAATCATCTAAACACTTAAATAATTCTAATATGGTCCAAGCACAGTGCTGGGACGCTGTTTATGATAGAAATGCGGCCTTCTCACTGATGTTGTTGTTATGTCTGTTTTGAACAGGCTGGAGAAGGTTGGAGCTCAGAGACGATAGGAGACTGGGGGACCGAGAGCTGGGAGTCTGTGGAAGGAGGCCAAAGTGAGTCCTTCAGCTGAGATCCCTTATCATGTCCTTGATGCAGGACATATTAAAGTGCTAACATTGTGCTATTAAGCTTCAGAAATCAAAGTTTCAGGTTCTCACTAAAATGAAGGCGTCACATATTAAGGGGAATTACTCAACATTTTAAGATATCAGGAAGAACTGGCAGCTTTTTTATGCTGTGCTCTCTGTCTCTGTTAAGAACCTTAACTTGGCATTATGGCACCAAAGTTATTCTAGTTTTAGTTCCATTTAACTGAAGGTGACAAAAACAGCTTGTGAAAGAAGGCCAGTTAGCATTGAAACTGAAATATTTTCACGTTTTTGTCAGATCACAACCAAATCTAAATTATTGTACTGGGAATTTGTGTATTTAGACCAACTTTATTATAACTGTAAAGGAAAATAATATTTAACAATAAATTAAATAGTTTATACAATAAATACATCTGTAATTGTTATATAAACTTTGTTCTCCTTCAGTCATTAAGTATAAATGATTGTTTTAACTCAGATCTCAGCAAGTCAGAGCTATCGAAGAAGAAACGAGAGGAGAGGAGAAAAGAGCTGGAGGCCAAGCGGGCCGAACGTAAAGCTGCTAAAGGGCCTCTTAAACTTGGAGCACGAAAGCTGGACTGAATCGGGTCCAACAGGGAGGCTGCGACATGAACCAGAGACCAGAGTGGAAGGAGTTTCCAGTAGAAAACAAGACAGGAAACTGAACAGCTCTTTGAACAAGGAAGGATACTGAGAAGAAGGTGGTTGTTGGAATCCAGCTTTTGGACTTTCTGCCTTTTCTCTTTTAAGGACTGATAGAAATTAAGGTAAAGACAGAAAAGTGACAGAAAATCCAAAGAGACTTAAGCGGGCTGCAATAGACTTTATTTAACAAAATGTTCGTCCATCATAAAGTTACCGTTGTACAGTAAATGTATATACCATGTGCATCATGTCTTACCTTTTTTTTTTTTTAAGATGAATATATGTAAGAGAACGTTCTGTATTGGTGAGATGGATGTTTTTCAGTACGTTCTGTATTCACACACACACACTGACTGTTTTTAGTCGATCTGATCCAGATTTTAGACTCTAAAGCAGTCCATGCATGCACCTCTGTGGCCTATTAACAATCTCCATGACAACAAATTACATACACGTCTTCATGTTGCACATATAGCACTGTATTAACTCTGTGAGGGGGTGTTGGTTCTGTCATGTTTGAAGGGAAAATGAAACATCTTAAGCGAAGAGAATAATAGAAATATGTTGATGACAGAAACGATGGTCCGTTTACAGCAATGTATTCTGGGATTTTTTCGGGGGTCGGTTGTATTAGCATAGCAGATTAACTGCTGATGCAAAAGAAAAATTCCAGTGCAACTTTCAGTGCTCATACTGGTATGAGTGGATTCTATGTTTTTACTTTCTGGTTTGTGCCTTTCTAGTTAGCTACAGATCTATCCTTACAGTGAACCCCTCAAAACCTGCATCTTCGCCGTTTAAACGACAGAACTTAAACTTCTGAAAGCATCGCACTGTTTGAACCTGAAGGTTTCTTTGTCGCCTTTTATTTTCTGTGTCTATATGATGTGACATGATGTCGGCAGGAAAACGGTGACGGCTGCTGCAGGGGCTGAGGCTCTGGATGTGGACGTTCAGGTGATGAGATGCTAGAAGCTGTGTGCTCATGGTCTGAAGAGGGTCACCGGTCCAATCATGGTGCATGTGTACTGTTCCTTAATAAAACTATTAAATTATACATCTGTCCAATTTATTTGATCTTTTTTAATTCAGTAAAAAGTTCCGTTTTCCTTTTCTTATGTATCTTGAGCTTTACTTCAACCTCTTCAGTGCGTTCTCTGATTTAATACAACAATACTTTGATGTCTATGTTAAAGAAATACAGTAGAACCCACAGACTGTTTACATCCTCTTGGTTTCGTGATGATTTAATATCTTCTAAGGTTTTTTGGGGGGGAGAATTGCATTACCAAAACGTCACCAGGAGTCACAACTTACAGGAAAAATATCTAGCTTTAGTCTTCCCTAATTTGGTCAGGACTAAAACTGGTTTTGGTCAAATTGGATGCAGTGTTATTTCATGTGTTGATTAAAACTCACCCAGGGACACATTCAACAGCAGCCGCATTGTAAATCATAGAGCATGTGTGCTTTTTGTCACTAAAAACAAATGTATTTTATAATACGCTCCATTTCCACATATTTCAAGATTTCATACTTGGGCGAGATGGTTGCTAAATCTAAAGTAAATTTTCTCAGCTTTGCATTGACGAGCCAAAGATTAGACTAGATCATGTGCTTTTACAGATAAATCTTATTCAACATTCGAAGATTCACATTCTTTTCTTGTTTTCTCAATTATATTACTTTTTTTTTTTTTAAGAAATTGTAAATAAAAACTAAATAGACCTCTTTATTTAATGGGATTTTCAGCAATTTATGCTTTATCCCCAAAAATCAGATTAACTAAAGAGAATTTAATATTTTTTAGGAATATTTTTACATCTTTCTATGATTTATTTTAAAAGTGAAGTAAGAAGAACAAGCAGCAGTCTGGGAGAGGTTTTAATAAGGAGTTACAGACCATAGATCAGAAGATAAAACAGTGGGTGTTTTCCTAAATGTCCTATACCCATTAGGAGATGAACTGTAACTGATACCCTATCGATTAGACTTTCTTCCTTATTTATCTTCAAAGACTGATCCAGTGCAAGACAGACCACTGTAGAAGATCCCTCCTGCCTGCAGCTGTCAACACCTACAGCAACTGGTTAAAAGAAGGTTTTTGGGCCACACTGTAAAAGAGAGATGATTCTCTGTTCAGTTTGACTAAAAAAATCTCTGGAATCAGGAGTTCGAGAGGCTAAAGTTGGCTTTATTGGGTCATTTTGCTGTATCAGTTCTATAAAAATGTATTACCCGCTTATAAAAGAAAAAATAACCTTCAGAAAACTCATCCTGATAACTAATTATGCTAAAATAAGCTAATATTTCACTAATATGTATAAATAAATTATCCAAAATCTTGGTTAATCTAAATACAGATACTGGATCTTGGTCAAAAACATATCTTCTGGGAAAGCTTGGATTTGATGAAGGCTGAGATAAAAAAAAAAAAAAAACATAAATCACTTTTGGTATAAAATAAAGAGTATACACTTTTTATCTCACTGAGACAAGAAAACAACAGAAAAATAATAGATTTTCACTCATTTAAAGAAAATCATTTTTTGTTCTTTTTTTTTTACATTTTTAGGTTTGATTTGAGATAAAATAATATTTTTCAACCGTTCCATACCATTTAAGTTAGAGGATCTTATCAAGCAGCACATTTGGAGCAGGGTTATATAAAAAAATGCTGATTTATTGAAGATAAGCCAAAAAAGAAACTACATTTATTTCATTCCTGTTTGAGCTTCTAATTTAGCTTTTTTTCATCATTAAAGAATACAGATAAAATTGTCAAAAATTCACATCTCACTACATTAGATGGTGAGATATATTTCTTCAAGCATTTTTGAACTTTTGAATGTATTAGGATTTGGAATTTTTTTTCCTTCTACCTCAAATAAACATGACTTTCAAGCATAAGCGTCGTTAGACCTATTTAAGGGTGGCTTCAGCCACCCTTTCTTTGGCATTAGCCACCCTATAATTATTTTGCGATTTTAAAAAATATATATTTTTTTCTGTATTTATTTTTTCCTCATATTTTCCCAAAACAAATGCAGTAAAGGACCGAATAAAAGCCATAAAGAAGACAAGTTAATCTGAACAATCATAGGCGTAACTTCCTTAAGGACTGGTGTGGACATGTCCCCACCAATATTTTGTACACGTATTTTGCTTTCGGTGCTGTGTATATCTGATTAAAACCCCATTCATGCCGCTCCTCAGAAAGAAAATAAAAAAAAAAAGTTCTCCCCGCTGCTCACCGTCCACAAACCCCGACAAAAAAACTCAGAAAAAAGAATCTGTTGCCTCTCGCTTTCTCCCCATCACCCCCCTCCAACCTCTCCCCATAACATTTGAATTGAAGATATCCGCGGGTGACGGGTCGGGTTCGGTAGTCATTCTAACGGGTTCGGGCGGGTGCGGGTTGGTAAAACTCGACCCATGCAGGTCTCTAAGCTACACTACATTCAGTATCGTTGCCATAGAAACAGACAACAGCGCCAATATATCAGAATTATACTAAAACACACGCAAATAATTTCCCACATAAAAACAGGACTTTCAGTCCATTACAGTTTTCCGTTTTTAGAGGGTTGTTTATTTTGCGTTTATTAAGTGATGGCTGTGGTATATTAGCTTTCACTGCTATAAGCTTTCGCAGCAGTGATTGATTAATTTAAACACCTGCTCTACTGATGGTCTATCGGAGTTGGTGTTTAGGTTGAACATAAAGAACACCTTTTATTTGAAGCTACTTGTAGCTACTGTTTTAATCCCGGCTTTACTTAAAACTTTTTCCTGACTTTGATAGTGTTGCCATTCAGTTGCAAGCACTGCGCCCCTTTTTCTTTTATATGTACACGTACATTTAAGATTTAGCGTGTTATGTTGACAACTCATGAGCAAGCTGCTTTTTGCAATCTAGCAGGAAGGTAAGGATAGGATCTTGCAGGTGTGACGTCACTCTGCAGGGGGTCCAAAGATAAAAGCTTTAAACAATTTTGGCATTGGAATTTCAGATTTAAGGGAGTTAGAAAGTTCACTTAGTAAAAGTGCAAATAATAAATCTGATTAGCGATTACTTTTAAGCTGGTTGAACATACTGCGACAGACTGGTGACCTGTCCAGGGTGATCCCACCTCTTACCCAGAACGTGGCTAGAGATATGCACCAGCACCTCCTGATCCCACTCAGGGATAAGGTTAAAGAAAATGGATGGTTGAACATAGTCCGCTCTCCCAGATTCTATCAAATCAGTATTGATACCCTCAGGGGCGGATTTAGGAAATTTGGGGCCCTAGGCAAAGACAGGCAGGGGGCCCCCTGAGAAGAAAACCCATAAAACAGACCCATTCTACAGATAGAGAAATGTTAATAGAATAGACATCCATTATTTGTTCTAGGTTTTGTCCCTCTCTTCTTGTCCCTTTTTCCTCTCTATTTATCAGCGTTCTGATGGCATTTTAGCCAAAGGATTTTTATCAAAAACATAATTAATGTGCACAAATAAGGATTAGTTGTATTAACCATACATGGAAACAGAGTTTTATGGAGCCCCCAGAACTTGGGGCCCTGGGCAACTGCCTAGTATTGCCTAATGGTAAATCCCCCCCTGGATACCCTGCTGGTGGATGTTCTTGACAGAAAGACGGAGTTGCTTAATCATATTCTGCTTAAGGTCCCATAAGATCTTGTCCGAGTCCTGGTTTAAAAGTAAATTAATTTTAAAAAGTGACCCAAAATTGACTGTCAATAAATGTTCTACAAAATTGATATATTTATTTGATTTCTTTGATTTGTACTGTCTGTTTAGATTTATGTGATATTTTTTGCACAAAATATATAAGTGAATATTGTAACAGTTATGTTTTCAACTGTAAGCATTAAATTGATAATGTTATTCGCATTTTTTTGGCTTTATCCTTTCCAACAAAAAAAAAAAGGCGTCGCGCAGGTAGCTCCCTTTCCTTATGAGCCGTCCCCACCAACTTTCAACACAAAGTTACACCCTTGTCTTAGACAACGCCTTAGCAGGTGCACTGAAAAAATTCGGCGCGCGCATGGCGCGCGCATTATCTTCTAGGGGCTAAGCCACCCTTGTCTCTTAAACCTAGAGACGCCCCTGCTTTCAAGTGTAGCTGCCTGGTCTTTTAAAAGCCAATTTCAAACACAACCTATCAAACAGAAAAGTTTAACCTCATTTATTTATCTCAAATTACACTTAGTGAAAAATGACAGGGGAATCAACTTAACTTCCACACAAGCTATTTATTAACAAACACTTGAAAGTCAGAGGAAGACAATTTCAGTGAGCATTAGGACAAATTTTTATCAGTCATTTAAAATATTTATATAATTATTACTTAATAAGTCATAAAGATTTACATTTTCCTTTTTATAGTTGTACTTCTATTACTATCACTTTTCAAATTTTTTCTTGTATTTACAAAAAAGTACAATGTTTATATTTCAAAATATTGTATGAAATTTTTATTAACATTGGTCTTTTTCTCTAATGGCACATTTATGAGTAAAAAGACTTTGTCCTCTGTAGAAATTTTAGACCCTTGAACTGAGAAAAGTATGAAAACCTAAACCTGTATGAAAACCTGAACCTTTCAGATCAACTGATGAACGGTTAAAGACAAAGTGGGGAAGACTAACAGGTCAGTCAGTTCCAGTTAAAATCACAGATAGTATCTGTATGTGACTTAGGCAGAATTATCAGTAATAAGTTGTGCTGAGTGGCCTTTAGGCTACGCTGGTAATGAGTTATTCATAGCTGCAGAATAAACCACTGTGGACCTCGGTCACTTGGTGTCCTCCTTGTTTTCCTTTTTGCTTCCTCCAAACAGAGCCCCGGCAAGAGCGCAGATACCCAGACCCACTGCAGCAGCCATACCAGCCACCATCACAACTTCACCGGCCTTCTGCACCTGCAGGGGAAGAGAAATTCAGCTTCACTTAAACTGAATTCTATCTATCTATCTATCTATCTATCTATCTATCTATCTATCTATCTATCTATCTATCTATCTATCTATCTATCTATCTATCTATCTATCTATCTATCTATCTATCTATCTATCTATCAATCAATCAATCAATCAGTCTGTCTGTCTGTCTGTCTGTCTGTCTGTTTGCCTGTCTGTATATGCCTATCTGCAAATTGTGTATGTATGTATGTATATATATATATATATATATATATATATATATATATATATATATATATATATATATATATATATATATATTGAAATTATATGTGAAATGTGGTTGCCATAACAATGTAATCAATACATGTCTATTAGATGTCATCAGATAGTGGGTGTGTGCGTGTGTAATATTCTTATTATCTGACTACAATATTATAATGCTCCATTAACAAACTAATTTTGTTGTGATGGATTTATATATGTTCTATCACATGATTTATAGACTTCATGGATTTCGTACTGAATATGCAATGTGATGTGCATATTTTTTACTATAAATGATAGTGATGCTATGAAACGGCAAGTGTGTGTCAAAGTGATGAATTAAATCTTTATTTTAAAAGTCTTAAGCCCCCCTAAAAATGATAAAATATTGTTTTTCAATGCTTTAGAGCACATATTGTTTACATTCCGACCGGTCTAACTAGGGAGTACCAATATGGCGGCTGGTGGCTTCGCAGCAACATGTACTAATAACAACCAATCGGCTATCCAGTGAATAAAAAAGATCAGTGCTTCGCACACATACATATATTTTTATATCTATTTTTTCCTCAACCATGCTGAGGTTTCTGAAGGGAAATTAATCAAACATCTAAAAGTATTACAATAATGTGATAGAAAGGTTAATCTTGTAAAAAAGGAAAAAATGGATCACATAATTTGAAATACACCATATTGATGTTGTTTTATATCCGGTTCAATTATTAGTTATCAACAAGTAACATTTTGCATTTCTTCATTTGTTTTTTATTACGCTTTATCTTTGTACAAAAATCATTGAGGTTGGAAGGCCAACACCCTAATTTATAGCCTTAAACAATAAATCTATCAGACTGAGGGTGGGACACATCAACTAAAAAGAAAGATAGAGCATATATGTGACGCAGTGATTAGTGCGCACGAGCCTTGTACGGAGGCCTTACTCCTAGACAGGGGCGGACTTACCATTAGGCAAAACTAGGCAGTTGCCTAGGGCCCCGAGTTCCTGGGGGGCCCCCTAAACCTCCTTTTACATGTATGGTTAATTCAGCAATTACTTATTTGAGCACATTAATTATGTTTTTGAAAAAAATCCTTTCGCTAAAATGCCATTAGAATGCTTATAATATTAAGTGGGTCTCGGGGCCCCCCCTACAGTGTCCACTACATTGGTTCAGTCCATTTGCTGCGCATGGGCAGAAAGGTCCAAACACACTGCAGCAAACTATTTGAAAAAACAAACAGCGCGAAGAGACGAGACGAGCAGAGCGGATAAGAGAAAAGAAAGGAAAGAAAAGAAAAAAGATTAAAAGAAGTTACCCTAGCGGTGCTGAAAGAGGAGAAAAAAGAATGAAGGTAGGAAGCTGCTTTCAAAGTTACCAAAAATAACTGAGTTCGGCTTCTTCACTGCGGCAGCGGCGAGCAGCAGCAGCAGTAACCTGCCGCAAACAGCTGACAACTCAGCGGCAAGTCTGGCACCTGTTAAGGAGGATCCATCGTGTGGAGTTGAACAACTAGTGAGTATTAAGCTGTCCAAGGGGACATTCCCCCTATATTGATAAGTATTTATTTACTTTATTGAAGATGGGTCATTTTAAAGTATGTTTATAATTTCATTTGGATTTGCTACAAACGATGAAAAATCAATTATTTAGGTGTTTTTTTATGTTGAATATCAGGAAAATCTCAGGCTTTAAAATGTTGTAAAATCACCCATAAGTTTAAGGTGCTTTAGTCCTTAATAATTTAAGTTATACATTCAAAAAACATAAGGAAGTTATTACCAACATCTCACTCTGCTTTACAGCTTTGTATGTGTTTTATTGTGCACAGCAGGGGATGTTAAGGGTCACATTAATTATAAATTAAATAGCAATTGTCATTTGTAACATCACTTTCCCGCGACATGCACCTTTTATCTTTTATATATATATATATATATATATATATATATATATATATATATATATATATTTATTTATATTATTTATTTATTTATTTTTTTTTTCAATCCACTGCAGCAGAAAAAAGAGTTTTTCTTGCCTCTAATTGATACAGCTCTTATGACATTAAAGGAGAGATTTTCACACATGGAAACCTTTTATGAGCTGTATGGATTTCTCTACTCCACTGATGTCATGAGAAGCACTGAGAAGGAAGGGAAGCTGGATGAATGTTGCCAGAGACTTGAGCAGACGATGGATGACATTGATGCAGAGGATATGAAACTTGAGGTAAAGGGAGCAGTTAGATACTTCCCCATACATATCTCATCAACATCTGAGATGCTTGATTACATCTATAAGGAGAATATCCTAGACCTTTATCCAAATATGAGTCTAGCTCTCAGACTTCTGCTCACTCTACCTGTGACAGTCGCTTCAGGTGAGAGAAGTTTCTCGAAGCTGAAGCTAATTAAAGCATATCTAAGGTCAACAATGTCACAGGAAAGGCTGTCTGCACTCGCTGTTCTCTCCATTGAGCAAGAAGTCAGGAAGTCAGTGGTATGGATCTTCTCATTGCAAGATTTGGTTAGGCCAAGGCTTAAAAAATTAAAGTTTAGGAAGAAGGAGAATACAACTACTAGGAAAAAGGGACAAAACATTAAGAGGAAAACAACAAGAAAAGGGGACAGGAAGAGAAAAGGGGGAAACGAGGAGGAATATGAGTTAAAGAAACAAAAGAATAAGAAAAAAGACAAGGACAAAAGGGAGATAAATTCAGACTGAGAAAAAGACAGGAAGAGAATAAAACAAAAGAAAAAAAGAGTAAAATGAAACAGACATGAAAAAAAGGACAGGGAGAGAGGGATAAAAGGTAAAACAATGCATGTTTATTCTCTTAAAATGTCAATTTGTATAATTGACCTGTTGTTTTGTGTGTTGTTTTCTCATTTCAGATGGCCCCATGCCTGCCTTTGCCTAGACTACTACAGAAAGGGACAAAAGAACACAGAAGAAAACCACAACAAAAAGGATAAGAAGAGAGGGACAAAAGGTAGAACAACTAATCTAAGTCTATTCTATTATAATTTCTGTATCTGTATACTGGGTCTGTTCTATGTGTTGTCTTCTCAATTCAGAGGGCCCCATGCCTGTCTTTGCCTAGGGCCCCAAATTTCCTAAGTCCGCCCCTGCTCCTAGACACGGCCGACCCAGGTTTGAATATGGCCTGTGGTCCTTTGCCGCATGCCTCTTCTTCTCTCATACCCTCTTTGCTGTCAGAAAAACGAGGCACTAGTGCCGTAAAAACAAGATGAAAAACAGATGTTGGTTAAATTAGACTATTTCCTTGAGTATAAATCTCACAGGAGTATAATGTGGTGCTTAACTGTTCCTGAATTGTTGTTTTTCCTATATATAGTTTTATGTGTTGGAAAGACTTCGATATTTATGAAAATTAACTGGTGCTAATGATGCATATCTTGTGATGTTCTAAGTTTTTCCAATGGCTCGTTAACAAAAATGTCTGGTCAGCAATTCAGCACATATAGGCATGGAGACAAAAGAACTGCTGCAGTTCACACTGAGTAAGAAAGTATTTCAGCAACTGCTCATCTACTTGGATTTCCACGCACAACCATCTCTAGGATTTATAGAGAATGGCCTGAAAAGGAGAAGATATCCAGTGAACAGGAATTCTGTGGACGCAAATGCTGATTTGATGGAACGGAAACAGTAACAATGAGGTAAGCAGAAGAACACAACACGTCCAACTATGAGGTGGATCTCCGTCCAACAGAGCACTTCTTGAATGCGGTGGAATGGGCGACAAATCTGCAGGATCTGCGTGATGCTATCATGTCAATGTGGACCAAACTCTCTGAGGAAGGTTTCCAGTACCTTGTTTAATCTATGCCAGGAAGGATTAAGGCAGTTCCGAATGTAAAGAGGCCATCTTGGCACTACCCAAAGTGATCGGTACTCCTAATGCCTCAAAGAGTCCTGACTACAATCTGTGTATAATTTAGGTTTTTCCATGACTCATAGTGGTATACAGATCTAAACTGAAAATTTCTTTTGTAAGAGAGGGGTGGAGCTGTCTGAGTCACACCATGAAAGGGTTGTAAATCAATGGTTAAATGTTGATCATCATTTACTACAGCCTGAAACAGAAAAATCTGAGCTTTCTATTAGTTTATTAGTGGTGAATTGATTTAAAATGTCTCCATTTTGGAAGAACTGTTGTGTCTTCCTTGGGTCAAAGAAAACAGGCACTACCATATGTGGACGATGATGACGAACTGTTTTGGGGGTTGTTTTAATTTATACAACACACATCTCATCAGGATCTCAGTAAATTGTGTCCAGTTGCGTTAAAGGCCCAATATGTATCTGTAATAAGTTGTCTAGATCTCTTGCCTGTAACCCCTACCTACCTGCCGTGACTCTGCCTTGCCATAGCGCAGCTCGTTGACAAAGTGCTCGCAGTTTCCCCTGAAGACGCAGTAGGGCAGCTCCTGACCCACCATGTTACAGGCCTCTCGTACAATGACATCAGGCGGACGGGGCTTGTACTTATCATCCAGACTGTTGTTTATCTTCCACTTGTTTGTTCCCACCACATCCCAGAGCTCCTCCTTCTTAACCATTGCCTTCTCAGTCAGGACGGACATCATGCTGTTGGAGCCGGCACCAGGTGCTTCGGCTGATGAAACACAAACTTGAATTTAAAGTTGCAGTACACAATAGACAATGCAACAGTAGACCATTGGTGTATTGTCTATTGTGAAAAATTCAGGAACAGTTTATATGTGAGGTAAAACCCAATGTTTTGACTGTACTAAAAAGTAGAGGCAGCCAAAACCAAACTGTCAAGGATCACAAACCAACCCATTAATTAGCATCGGTTCACCTCAAGCCTCCCTTTATGAACTGCTCTGTGATCAGGATTAAGATCCTTAACACCCAATAATTTTATCATACATTTTTTCCACCTTGAACACTTTAAACAAAGAAATGCACTTTAATGATATAATCCTTTTATGTGTTAAGATGCTTCTTATGTGATTTTTTAATGAATTCTATTAGTATGTTTGTTGTTGAAGTGCTGTTAAAGAGAAAATGGGACAAAGAGTAAAGTTTTCTATACTATTTGATTTAATTTAGTTCAATACTTCCAGTGAACACTGGTAGACAAACAGAACAGTTCAGGAACATAAATATTGAATCAAATCAGCTCAGACTTATACATAGTTAACTTAAGATAAATATTTTCCAGTTGTATCGTATTTAAAAAAAGAAATGTAGTTTTAAGTACCAGCTGGTTAAATGTATAGGGGAACATGTTCTTTTTCCAGGTGGATCATCAAAATAAATGGTCCTCCTAAATGTCAAATTATCGTGGCGATTTGTTTACGTAAGGCTGTCCTACGTGCTCGTCCCCATTTTCGTCTGACAGAGTGGAAAAATAGCAAATCCTCTTTTTGAAAGTAAGCTTCTATGAGCAAACAGAAATTTTTAAATAGATCTTGCACGGGAGTAATGGGCTCATGCATGCACTCTCATGCGTTAAATAGGCGTACCCTCTCAGGAGCAGGTACAGGGTTGCCAAATTCACTTTTTTTTAAAGTGAAGAGGGCAGGTCTTTTTTTAAAAGTTTGCGAAAATCCTCCACTCTACCTTGAAAAGATACCCATATAAGTCCAGGCAACGGCATCAAATCGTACATTTTTTTACAGCACAAAGTGAGAGCTGCCTTAACAGGAAGGACCCAAACATAAATGTTTACTTCCAATATTAAAGGCTTTTGGGATTTTCCATACTTTCTCTGCTAAATAATCAGGCTAACTGTTAGTAGCAATTCAATCTAATAAGATGATTCTCTAGTTTATGCTTTCAAATTTGTTAGCAACAGGCTTATCAGTAGATCTTATGTTCCACCGCCTGTGACTGATAGAAATCAATGAGAGTGTAAATAGTTACTTTTTTCTGATTTTCCTCAAATATATGTACAACATCGCCATTTTGGATTTTGAGGATGGGATTGGTGGAAAAACTTTCCTACTTAAACTCTTACCTCTGTGGACCTTTTGATTAGATAATTGACAACAATAATAAAAAAAAAAGCATGGATAAAATTTTTTTGACAATGTTGTTTTGCTTTTAAGATTATATCAAACATCCTTGTCTTGAAAGGCTGTTTTGAAATATCTTTAGAAACTCTGTAGTGTTTTTCTTTACTATAATAACTATTGTTTGAGTTTTTAAATAAAGTTGTTTTGGATATAGAGAAAAAGAAAAAAAGAATCTGAACCTTCCTTCTAGTCTAAAAAAAGCACATGCCATTGTCGTCATGTCGGCTCATAAGCTGTTTTATATTCAGTTTGGAATCTGGAAACCAGTTCTCTGTGTTGGCTAACTCACAGGGTGGCGCCAAGTGAACCACGAAGCCTTCCCCCACATACAGAGCCCAGTGCTGATAAGTGCCACGGAAGATCTCAATCAGGTCCCCTGGCTCGGGTTTCTCATCAAACTAGGATTAGAGCAGTGACAGAGAGAAGCTGAACATTGCAACAGACTGTGGCTTTTTTTAACATGCAAAACATTTGACTTGACTGGACTCAAAACAAGAGGTGGATTTGGTCATTTTATAAACAAAACATTTTTAATCAAATTAGATGCAGTGATAAAAAAACATTAACATTAGGACAACCTTGTTTTTTTATGTTTTACTCTAAAGGTATATTACCTTAAGAATAAAATTAACACATACAGAGAAAACAGAGGTATAGTAATAATCATAACTCATCCTGATATGACTGCACATTCAGCCAGATGTACAAATAACTTGTTTTTCTGCTTTTTAAAATGATCCTTCAGGTTGTGTTCATCATATTTTATACAGGATGGAAAACATGACATCAGACAAGCTTCTGTTTAAATATAGCTTCCTTACCAGTGTTGGAGCCATGTCAGCCGTTTGTTTAATCTGCCGTGGCTTGAAATCCTTTCACTTTCTGTTTAAAGATGTGCAGAAAAAAATACCTTCAATACAAATTATTATAACAGCTGAAAACTTTAGATACTTACTACTTATTTCTAAGATCAGTTTAATAAAGTAGTCAACTGATCTTAGAACTAAGACGCATTATAAAATAAAATGCATTATTGATATAATAGTTAGGCCTACTTTAAAACCATCCTAACTCGATAAAGCATAACAGATCTGTATTTTACCAATACTTATCTTCCATTATACCTTTACATATGTGAAATGTATAAAAAAAAAAGTATAAAAATAAAAAAGAAATAAAAAACTTAATGTGCAAATGTTGTAATAACATGTATATTGTTATAGGTAGAATTTATTGTTTATGTCTGAACAGAGGTATGAAGAACTGAGACGTATTTAATCATCCCCGTTTAATAATAATAGGAATAATAGGCAATAGCCCCGATTCCTATTTAACTTACAAGTCCATACTACTCCAACTGTCCATTTAATGAGCAAAGAAATATTTTTACAATGTACACATTTACACCTGCCACACACCTTCATTTATACAATCATTACTATTATTCGTAAATGAGTCTACAATCATTTACAGTTATTAAAAGTACCAAATGACAATCACCTGCCTTCTTCCATCACATCTTTTTAAGAAAACCGGTTTGTTTCATACTTTCACTCCATTCCTGAAATGCAAATTCCTTGTTTGAGCACCTCAGATTTTGAAAAGAAAATAGATTATCTCAGTGATTACACCCTCGCTCTCTCTCAACAAATATTTGTTGAATGCGGTAAGGTACCTTTTTATCTTTAGGTGTTAAACTTTACTAGAACAGAGAATTTATGCAAACAGAAAGGAATAATGGATCAGTGTGCAAATAAAAGCGAGCTTTATGAATTAACCTCTAGGTAATATAATTATTAATAGGATTCTCTTTGAGAACATTATATATAATATAAATGTATACCCAGACAGAGGAACTGTCTTAATTACATAAACTATTGTGGAAAACATCAATTCTGCCAGGCAACAGCTAATATTAAGGTGTAATAAAATCAAAAATAGAAAAATAGCTAAATATGTATTGCTGTATAAACATAATGGTTTAAATCGAGCATTGTTAAATAATTTCCTGATTTAAAGATTTACAAAAAGTTTTTAAGTCAACGCATGAGGAAACGTGAATATTTAAATGCAAATAGCACCGATGTGTTTACATCATCCATGAACCGCTGCGCTGATCCCAGATCAGCCCTCTAACGCCGCAGCAAAGCCTCGCAGTCTGATGTCAGCCGGTCACTATGGAGGAGCTATGATACCGCTGCTCTTACCTGAGATGATGGGCTCCGGTTGTTGTTTTGGAAATGCACGGCGCCACTACTGACGCCGACAGCAGAGCTCAGCTATGAGCGATCAGCTGCTGGCTCTGGTCACGTGACCTCTACAGCATCATGCGTCAAACGTCATAGTGCATGGTCCGTTTCCCAGGATCAGATGTACACCATACATTTAAATTTGGCCCTGTTCTGTTCTTGTTGCGGCTACTCTTGCATCAAAAAAGTTTCCAAAAAAATCAAAAATTGCCAGAGTAGTCTTAGGAGGAGGTTTTTCGACTCACAAAACAAAAAGCACTCGTGTTTCAAAATAAGGGTGTTTTCTTTACTAATAAAAAATAACAGAAATATTCTCAGAGTTGACTTACAAAAATTCAAATATAAAGCTAAGTGATGTGTGTGAAAAAACTGTTGCACTCCTCACTCCTTCAAACAAACAATCAGATCCACCTCATCAGCTGCTTCTACTTGTTAATCTCAGCAGGAGGCGGACTGACAAGGAGGAGGGTCAAAGCAAAACCAATACATAAACAAATAAACAATAGCTCTACCATTCACATAACCTTAGCTCTTTAACATTAATAATTTTGCAAAAGATAAATGAATCTAATTCTTAATAGGCTCCAACAGTTCTATTACGGTGTTACATCAAATTTTCTTTTATTTAACAAGAAACATTTTTAATGAGTTAAAAAAACAAATTTCAATTTTTATTAGAATAGAATAGAATAGAATAGAATAGAACAGAAAGAAAAGAACAGAACAGAATAGAATAGAATAGAACAGAATAGAATAGAATAGAATAGAACAGAATAGAATATAATATAACAGAATAGAATAGAATATAATTAAAATATAACAGAACATAATAGAATAGAATAGAACAGAATAAAATAAAATAGAACATAATATAATGTAACAGAACAGAATAGAATAGAATACAACAGAACAGAATAGAATAGAATATAACAGAACAGAATAGAATAGAATAGAACAGAATAGAATAGAATAGAACAGAATAGAATAGAATATAACAGAACAGAATAGAATAGAATAGAACAGAATAGAATAGAATAGAACAGAATATAATATAATATAACAGAATAGAATAGAACAGAATATAATTAAAATATAACAGAACATAATAGAATAGAATAGAACAGAATAGAATAGAATAAAATAGAACATAATATAATATAACAGAACAGAATAGAATAGAATACAACAGAATAGAATAGAATAGAATAGAACAGAATAGAATAGAATAGAAGATCCTTTTATTGTTCGACAATCGGTTAAATTCTGGCGTTTACAACAGCAAAAATATTATCGAAAAAATAGTCACACAAATGTGGACCTCAGAAGAGTGTATAAGAATAACATAATAGTGAAAAATATAAAATAAAATACTGTACGGTAAATTGTTTTAAACAATATAAACACTGTGCACCTGGAGAATAAATAACAAAAATATACAGCTATGGACATTTTTACAGTGATGAATATTTGAAAATAGTAGCAACATCAGAGATGTGGAAAATGACAGCAGCATGTTATATAATTGACTAAGCTGCTGGGAGGAACAATCTGTGATGAAGCTCCCTGGTGCATTTAGGGTGCAGCAGTCTGTTACTGAAGGAGCTCTGCAGTTAGGCAACATCTGAAAAGATGGTTTTATCAGTTTAAAATTGTAATTCTAATGTCATTATTTAGGATTTGTCATAAATCAGCACAAAGAGTCTTCATGGCTACATTTTTTTTCAACAGATATCTAACAGATGGATTATTTTGGTTGTGTCTCATGGTGAGAAATAAATGTTTGTCCATATTTGTTTAAAAAATAAATTATTAACCTCTTACACCCTAAGGGGGTATAATACATTTCTGCCTGACAAAAACACACAAAAGTAAATCACTTATAGCCTCACAGCTATTAGATTTAAGAAGAAACTTTTGGTACGTCTGTAAAGGTAAGATGTCATAGAATGGTTTTCTGGTGTCAGCACCATTTTAGCTTTGACCCTGCCTGAAATATTAGGGACAAAATACAAAATATTTTGCATTTTTTGAACCTCGCCAAAATTTTCTTTGAAATAAACATTGCAAAACACTACCAAAATATTATTTATAGCACAAAAAAGCAGTACAGACTTTTAAATCTAAATGTTGTGTAAAAATATACCAAATTTGGACTCAATCAGATGAATCATATTTATTTTAGAATGGTATTAGTGAGAAATTTCTTAGGCGGAGGGGCCATTTTGGCACATTTATCCAGAAATGTCACCAAACTGTGCCAAATGTGTTTTTTACATCAATACTGGGGGTTTGTTAAAATCACGAGGTCACGTAGCAGCTGGACCCACCGTTGGGTCCGTAGGGTTCTAGGGGTTAAAGCTCAGTCAGATTGGATCTAAAGCTACTAAGCAACTCAGATAGGCTATAAAAATATTGCCAAAACCTATCAGTTTGAATTAGGCCTAGACTTTGACTGGGTCATGCTAAGTTATGGATATGCTTTGATCAGAATAATTTACTGAAGCTCTGACTGTATAGTTCTGTGATTTATCCCATCTGATTTCTAACAGGAAATTACCCTAAAAATGCCACAAAAAAAAAGTTGAAAAAACAAACCATCGGACAAGACATTTTGCTTCCCATCCAGGAAGCTTTTTCAATTCAAAGTGTCTGGATTGGCGTTGAATTCCAAGCTTTATAGAATACCCTGAAAAGTGCTGCAGCTATCTTGACCTAACCCCACTGAGGAAAATTATCCCATCCATCCATTTTCTGTCACGCTTATCCCAAGTGGGGTCGCAAAGGGTGCTGGTGCCTATGTCCAGCTGGCTGCAGGTAAGAGGAGGGGTCCACCCTGGACAGTTTTCCAGTCCATCACAGGGAAACACAGAGACAAACAGGAAATACAACCATTCACGCACACACTCACACCTAAGGAGATATTAGAGAAGCCAATTAACCTAATAGTCTGGAATAGTTTGCTCATGGAGAACATGCAAACTCCATGCAGAAAGATCCTGGGCCAGGAATCGAACCCTTCTTTTTGCAAGGCAGCAGTGCTACGCACAATGTAGGAAAATGATAATGACCTTGTTCCATGACTGGTATGGTGTGTTAAGTGTTTGCACAGTGTTTTGTGAGACAAATAGTGTATATTTGGTATCTCCTGATCAAGCATTATTTTATATGTCATTGGATGCTCCAGAGGCTGTTTTAAGCAAATTGTAACTGGTATTTTTAATGGCTCTCTTTAACAATATCATTATTTTGACTCTAGATAGACCAATAGTTGCTCTGTATACAGACTCTCCAAACTTCGTAAACTTAAAATTAGAGTTTAGTGTCATTAAAATATTTTATTTAACTCTAAACAGCATATATAGTCAAGATGTTGTTTTTTTATTTATCATAACAAACCCTATGTGGACATTATGACCTTTGAACTTTGCAACACTCAGCAATCAAATGACTCACAGCATAAAATAGTGCCAGACTACTAAAAACTAGTTGGTGATAAGAAAAAAATATATAAAAAAAAAGTAAAAAAAAAAAAAGGTGCTGATGCAGTGAACCATAATAATGTGATACTTTGCAAAAGTCAGGTTAGACAGGTTAGACCATTGTTTATCAGCCATGTGTTCAAAGCTGCACAGACAGGACAGATGGCCATTTGACTTTTACACTCAGGAATGTTTATGCCACCGAACAGGATCAAGTTAAACATTGAATTTAATACACTAGCATGACATTTCATCATCGTGGAGACATCACATTATTGACTTTTCAGAAGAAGGTAGCAGTGACTTCCACCTTGGTTAGAGGACTCTGCCCTCTGACGTCACTCATAATGTTACGTGAAATATAATTTTGGGCTCGGATGGGAGGACAAGTCAATATAGATAGAACATGGTCTAAACAAACTGATTTCTGAGTGTTCTCATGCTCTCAAACAAAGCTCCACCCCTGCTTGCTAAATTTTAATGTTCACATGATTTGTTATGTGTTTAGATTTATTTGGTTTTCAGATTACCACAATACCACCTGCCTGACACACACAATCATGCACGTTTCAACTCATGAGGAGCCATGATGTATCCTTCATGTTGTGGGTGATGATCACAACACGGCAGACAAGTTTCCTCCAAAACAAGCAGCTCAGCCAGACAACTACAAATCTCACACCCATTGTGATTCATAATGGTTTCAGTTCAAAATTCTAGACCTTAAACTGGCATAAAACTGAAAGCTGTATCTGAAATTCTTTACCACAAAGACTTATTGTTATAAGGCTGCAGGTGCAACAAGTTCTCTGTTTAAAATAACTCCATAACTTGGGCAGGGTTATGAAGGAATGTGACAAAAAATTTGGACCTATATTTAGCCAGTTATATGAGAGCTTGATTAATGTCGGCTTTGTTGCACAAGCTTAGGAAATGGTTGTTATTGTTCCTGTTCCCAGAACAGTAAATGCAAAACGTGATGACTAAATAATGTTAGACCAAAAGCTCTTATGTATTTAGCATCTGTGATTTAAAAACTCATGTCTTCAGTGGCAAATCACAAGGAGCTCATGCAGTTTGCTTATTAGAGGAGGCTACTCTGTAATTCCTTCTGAATAAAGTAATATGGTTTAGATCAGCCTCTTGTATGTATTATCCATCTATCTTTATCTTTCCTCTAACATGTTTCCTCTTGTAACCAGGACCTCATTATTTTTGTCACTGGCCATATTTAATGACCTTATCTAAGGTTGGAATGTAGATTGGTTCATTTGAAACAAGAACCCCACTGAAAATATTTTATATAATTAAAATGTACCTCATATCCAAGCTATTTGCATTACTGTTGCTTTATACAATCACATAAACTTTATTTTGTATGTTATTAAAAAGCTCAGTAGAATTTTAGATTTCAATTGTTCTGATCACAGAATAGTTTCCCTTGTTTTCCCACTTTTACTAAACAGTATAGGGCTCCAAAAAAAAAAACCCAGAAGAAATCCCCTCTGCATATAAGGTGAGGCTAGAATAAACTTTATTGCTCATCTAAGTTAGAGGCTGGCAGCCATGAGGTTTCTGTTTGATCAAGT